AGTACAATGACATACTGCATGAATGTGCGCCAGCTCGTACCGAATTCGTGTACTAACGAGCTGCCATTTCGAGTGTGACAGTGATATGGATCTGTGGTGTGCACAGCATCGTGCCTTTGCTGTTGAAAGTTATTTCAACAATAACTACTCTGTTATTGCTACCCAGCGTCTATTTCGGCAACATTTCAACTTGGGACGTCATGGGAAAGTTCCGGATGGACGGACCATTGTGAGGTGGGTAAGTTCATTTCGAACAACAGGTTCTGTTTGCAATGGCAAACCGGGAAGAAGTGAAGGAACTGTGCGGACACCAGAAGCCGTGGAAAATGTTATTGCTGTAATATTGCGTAGCCCAAAAAAGATCTACTTGTGGTCATTCGCAAACTTTGCATATGGTCCGATCGCTAAATCATGAGAATACTGCACGAAGATCTCCGTTTTCACATATGTTATATATTCAAGTTGTTCAGGAAATTGGGCCTCGCGACTGGGTTGCACGAGAAACATTTTGCTTAACCATGCGCGAACTCCTTCGCCTAAATCCACAAATGTTGCACACCATCCTGATGTCAGATGAAGCGCATTTCGAGTTATGTGGTTCGGTGAATAAACAAAATAAGCGTTATTGGAGTGCTGTAAACCCGCATGAACTGCACATCAAGTCCTTGCACAGTTCTCGTGTCGCATTGTCTTGCACAGTCCTCGCACAGTCCTCGCACAGTGTGGTGTGGAGCTGCTTCTTTCGGGATTATTGACCCTTACTTCTTTGAGGATGACTGCGGTGTGGCTGTAACTGTCACCAGTGAACGCTACCTAAAGATGCTGCAAGACTTTGTTCTTCCAAATTAGGTATGGTCGATGTGGCAGACGCATACAGCCAGAATTTGCATGGATTTCTTGCTACAGAGGTAGAGTAATTTCCCGTTCTGAAGATATTTCCTGGCCGCCTCGCTTACCTGATCTTTCATGTGCATACATTTTTCTTTGGGGCCACCTGAAGCAAGAAGTTTTCGAACACATTGTGCTACCATTCTTGAGTTCAAGGATCGCATCAGAACTGCCGTCGGCAATGTCTCAGAAAATACGTTACGCCAAGTTATGGCAAGCTTCCAACGCCGTCTAGATGAATGTGTTGTGCAGAGGGGGCATCATATTCATATTCAAAAAGTAATCCACGCAATGGACAATGACTTACACATTAGTAAATGGCATATCTTTAACTATTAATTGACATAAGAGGTAATAAATAAATTACAGTTACTGCCTTATGGTGTATTTTTAATATCCTACTATGAACGCAGCCTCACCCTTTATGTATATATATATGTAAAATATAAAATATCTATCTTTCAAATAATAAATTAATAACAGCCCTTTAACTCCCGTTTTCATTCTAAATAACAGAGCAATAAAGTTTCTAACCAAACACCTTGCAACTGTGATGTGCACTTACCGATAAAATCTGAATCCAACATCTGGACATTAAACTGTCGTGTGACATGAAATGGAATTCGGTATAAAAGACCAATTACGTCGCAACTCTCTCTCTCTCTCTCTTCGCTCTTCACCTCTGCTTCTTTTCGCTGGGTCACCTTGGCGCCAGTTTTACTTTTCTAATTTCGTCCATTGCTTAAGATGTAAGTGCTTAAGATGTAAGCTGCACAAAATTGGGGGTCCATAGCGCATCCGCAATGATAATGTGCATTATCAAGGAATAAAATTAAGTGTGGAATTTGCCGCCAAGTCATCTTTCTAACTACGCAGTTTTCAAGCAACGCATTAAAATCTCTTCAAGTTATAACGCAGAACACCAACGTCAATCCGTTGCAATTCTCTCACCAAGTCATCTTACCACAATAATGACACAGTCATATTACATATATATGTCATATTTTCTAAGCACAGTAGTGATGACTGAAACTCTCAACAGCTTTCGATGTCAGTCATGGCTGTGGTGAAGGCATACAGATGAAGACAATAAAACATGAACTTAAAAATCTCCAGTCTTTATTCTCACACATATCCAATTAATTTTGCAGACACTTATTCAATCATAATTAAACATGATACATTTCTACGTACATTGTTTAAAAGAAATTACGTACATTAGAATGTTAATTTGAGATCGCCAATTATTTATTAAAGCAACTATCGTATTTCGTTATATCTTACACGCACATATATATAGGTTCATTTGTAAGTTGTAGTTTAGTTTAGTGGAAAAGAAGAAAATCTTATAAAAGGGAATGAAATATAAATGACACTCGAAATTTGAAAGTAAATAAATTTGAATGCATTTCAGTTATACAAAAGGAAAGAAAGAGAAACAATATTTATTTAATTAACAGACATCTTTTAGAGCACATTTAACGTCTTTACAAACAATTATTCCTAACACAGAAAAAGTATACAAGAAATAAATAAAATCCGCATTAGAGAATTCTATAAGAAAGAAAATGGTGTTACGTATAATTATATCTTATACTCAAATCAGATTGTTCAGTGCAGATTACGTGATGTCACATAAGTCAGTGAAGATAGAGAAATTCATCTTCTGCTTACTGCAACCCATTTTAAAAATTTCTGCTTTTCACTCTTTTATTGTCCCGAAAATATTCGTCTGAAATTTCACAGTTCTGGTAGGGCAAGGAGGTGTACATACAAGCGGGCGTTCACGAATCTTTTTTTTTCTTATTACAGATTAAATATGATATCAAGATCTTTACCTTTCCGTCTGAAAGCTCTTATAGTATTTCCAATTTATAATAATTTAATTATTCATCTAATTTAAATTTATTAACTGTTTACTATTCACCATTTCATTTTTCTATAGTACAGTCTTGCTATTTATCTGTCGTTATTAAACTCAGAAAAGAACCCAACGAAAACGTTCGCTTTTATAAGCTAACATCTAATATTATTTATGCAATATTTAACATCCTATATTTTTCTGCAAAATCTTTTATCATAAAAACAATGTCTTACGTACGTCACCACCAGAATAACTAATCTTAAAACAAAAAGACTCACAAATAAAACATCTTGAATTAAATCTACTTCACAACTTCTGTATGCTTAAATTAAAATACACAAACACAAATTTACGAGCCATATTTCATCTGGTTTAAATTAGTAATTCAATAATTCTGATCTAGCCTAGCAGTCATTAAAAACGTCTTTGGAACGTGACAAAATTTTGAATACACCATACTAGGCGCCGCACCACCTTTCACAAATAGGACTTAACTTTAGTATTAAGTGTTTCTAGGAAGAGTAGCTTAGAGCAGCGGTTCTCAACCTTTTGACTAACGCGTATCCTCTAAATAAAAATTGAAAACCTTTAGTCCACCACTACAAAGTACTACTACCACCACCACCACCACTCTTGAACAAAGCTTCAGATCACATACATTTACGAGTGTTAGAGAAAAAAACTCAATCAGGATGCTGGGGTTTAAATTTTTGAATTTAATAGTTAAAATTATTTTATCCAAAGGTCTCATTTCCTCAAGCGATAAGGCAGCGGAAGAAGGCTCTTCACACCACAGAAGGACTCTCTCACACCTAATCGCAAAATTCTACACTTAACTTCTTACCAATCAAAATCCACATAAACTCTTGAATGAGAAAACCTCAAGAAGACCTCAAGAGAAAAGCGGCAGAAAGTAAAGCATTAAATTAAACAGACTTTCTTTAGTAAAACTTAAAGATAAATGCCACATACTTACAAGTAAACCCTTCTCTCCTTTGATACCGGTTTTCCGGGAACCCATATATTTTCTGAAATCTTATGTCACAACTAGAGAAACTGGGAAGTCTTAGGGGTAGAGGGACAAGCGTTTAGGAGCTATAGGATACATAAAGTATCATTCGAGTGTGCATAGATGCACATATTCCCGTAATGACGTCTCTATTTCTTGTATTTTCATGCATTATATGCTTGCGAAGTACCTGATGGTAAAGATCTACAAAACGAACTGGTGCCTGAAGGATTTAGGGAAAAGATCCAGCCTCTGAATATTCATTTCTTCAGACACTACAAATCTTTTATTCGCTACATAACGGACACAATCATTATCAAAACACAGGAGCACATTTAACATCTCGATAGTTTTCTAGCCCTGCAGACTTTTCACTGTAACAGTTCAGTATCCATCGTTTCAAGAACTTGATTATGTATACTTTTTATAAGGGCGGATACTTGAACGATGAACCTGGAATGTGGATTGGGCCAATGGATTACTGCTAGGATTCTTTGACAAATGACCAGTGTGCAAAGTGTGAGGCTATCGCTTTTGCAAAATGTGCCCAATGTTAACTGCCTTGCGGCAAGTCTCAATGTTTATTTGACGAATTGCATATTGATTGTCTTTTGTTATAGATTTTGTTTGAAGTCAATAAAAAGTCACACTTTCAACATCCAAATGTACATTTTTTTCTTTTCAACGAGTTGTTTTTTTTTTTTTTTTCATATTGAGATCTCCACTTTCTTACCATATTATTAGTTCATATAAATACATGAGACTAACATTTTAACGACATTTGGTGTCATGTTTTCAACATTTTACTGATACTTTGTGGGTCCTAGAGCTCCTAAACGTTTGTCCCTCTGCCCCTAAGATTTCCCAGTTTTTCTACTTGTCACATAAGCTTTCAGAACGTTTATCGGTCTCCGTCAAACCGGTATCATAAGAGAGAAGGTTTACTTGTTAGTATAAATCAATATATTCATTAACCACCCTACTAACAAAAATTTGAAACTTGCAAATTTTCATTTTACGTAGTGGTACGAAGGAATTTTTCACATCTTTAACTAAAGAAAGAAGATGTTCAAATACCCAATGAAAATGGCCTAAATGGTTTCTTTAAATTCTTAATTATGTAGTCACTTTATTTGACAGTTCATGAACAAACATGTATATGGAATGTGGAATTTAAGTATAAAAATTATTTAACTTACACATGAATACATAAATTATGTATTTACTTTCAGATCAATTATGGCATCTAAGAAGCAAATTGCAGTCATTGGTAGTGGAGTTTCAGGAATTGGTTCTATTGTAATGTTGAAAGAAGAAGGACTAAATCCTGTATGTTTTGAACAAACAGATAAACCTGGAGGCACTTGGAACTACAGAGAAGTGTCTAATATGGAAGGAGTTGCATCCATAATGCCCACTACTATCATTAATCATAGTAAGGAAATGGGAGCCCTCAGCAATTTTCCACCGAAGAAAGAATATAACAATTATATGAGACACAACGAGATGTACCAGTACGTGAAAGATTTTGCCAACGAGCATGATTGCTTTAAACACATCCAATTTAATATGATGGTAACCTGTGTTAAGCGTTCTAAAGATTATGATGAAACAGGCCGCTGGGTGGTGACTGCAAAGAATACGATTACAGGTGAAGAACTTACTGACATTTATGATGGGGTGATGGTTTGTGTAGGTCACGTTAATCGGCCGATAATGCCGAAATATCCTAATTAGGAGAAATTCAAAGGAAAAATTATACACACGCATAGTTTGAAAGAGGTTGACGAATATAAAAACAAAAATGTCTTAGTTGTTGGAATGGGCTGTTCTGCTTTAGACGCTGCAGTTGGAGTAAGCGATGTTGCCAAACAAGTAAGAATTGTATATATGATTCCTTTTTAACTTTATTTTAGACCTTATTTTGCGTTTCAGAAATTTAACAATGCAAATAAGATAAAACGAGTTTTCATAAATAAAAAAGTTGTAGCATATTATTTCTTAGAATGGAATGCAGTAAAACCATAAAATTAATTAATTAATTACTATATCTTTAAAATTTGATTGCAGTATTGTCAAGTAGAATTTCTGTAAGTTAAATTCAGTCGTCGGATCCTTTCTGTCAGGCGAACAAATCAATATCGTTTTCATTAAATTTAGGTACGTCATTTATCATGCTTTTTTTCAATTGTGACCATTGCTAGAGCGCTTAGTCTGTCCTCGCTTATAGTGCTTCTTAAAAATATCTTAACTCGTTTTGGAGTTGAGAAGTATCTCTCAACTTCACCAGTGGTCATTGGAATAGTAATAAAAATTAGCTGCAGTCCAAATATCTACGAAAACCTACTCTGTATGCTGTTTTCTTTAATTAAATGGCCCCAGTCATATTTCTGTAAATTACTCCTATTTCAATTCTCAGACGATTCTTCTGTAACATGGAATAAAAATCATTTGTTTGGTCAAGAATCTGAATTGGAAACGTTTACTCGTAGTCTTAGAATTTTGGAGCTTTGAGGAGAGAAACACGAGAGAAATGAGAAGTAAAACAAAATCTCTCTTTTATATGATTTCTAATAACATCACATATATATTTAGCTTGTCGAGTCATTAGGTTCTAGAGACATTTGAAGCAGGAGACCTGAAAAATGTGCAATGCCCTCGCCAGGACTCGAACCTCGGATCTCTCGAATATGCGCGGAGCGTGCTTACCATTACACTACGAAGGCATGCTAAGTAGGCCGGGGAAATACCTTATATACCCCCTTTTAAAGAATAACTCGTGATTAGAGAACTCATTCGCGAAATCCTGGTGGTGGAGGATCATGATCCACCACCTTTTTTTTAGTTTGGGCGTCACTGTCATTATAATTTTTTTGAAAATGAGCAGTGCTGTCGCCGGGACCTATCGAATACGCGCCGAGCGTATTCGAGAGGTCAACACAACAAAGGCATGCTAAGAAGGCGGGAGAAATAGCTTATCAGGTTATTTTAAAGCCGGGGATTTGAAAAATGTGCAATGTCCTCGCCGAACCTCGAACCCTGGACCTCTCGAATATGTGCCGAGTGTACTACGGTTGCACCGAGAAGGCATGTTGGAACGTGAGAGACAATACCTTATAAGATTCTACAGTTTTTATATAAATATTTCCTCTAATTTCTTTCTTGATGTTTTATACGATTCCGGTGTCCCCTCTGTCGCTGAGTCCTTCTCCTTTTCTTTCTCCAATGCCTGCTTGAAAATATTCACCCTTCTAGTGAGTGTTGCTGAACTGATTGTATAACACATCAACATGTGGCATCATATTTTGAAACAATATAAACGAAAACAAAAATTACGAGTGTTCTAACATGCGGCGTAGGCCCAACAGCAGCTGAGACATAAGTCACTGAACACTGGTAGTTCGGTCTGGGGTTCGAATCTCGCCGAAAGTGCTGGCTGCGTGAGTGTTTTCGCTGTTTTCCCCATGTGGAAGGTCTACACGAGCCAGTGTTTTTAGAACGTGCTCCACGAAGGCATTCCTCCCCTTAAGCAGATAGCCCGCCATAATTAAACAAACCAAACCAAACTAACATGCAGCGAATAGCCAATGCCAATAATTATGAGTTAAGAACTGCCTATGGTTTAAAACCACGTAACTTCACATCAGATATCTAAGTAGTAAGCAGAAATAGGAAAATTGCATAATAGCTGTCAAGATGCACACTAGAGGAAGCCACATTAGCTCGAGAAAGTTTAGGGATAGAAAAAATAAGATTTTGATTTTTTTGGAAGTTTTTAAACATTTTTTTTGTATTTTTTAATTTTATAGTTTTTTGGTATTTTTATGACACATAAATACAATACTATAGCAAAAGGTATTGTATAATTGAGACATTCGGTGTCTTTTGTACTCGAATACATAATGGTAAATAAAAAACATAAAGGTAAATACATAACATAAAGGTAAATATATATCAGATCAATACATAATGGCATACATATAACAATACATTTACAAACATATATATAGCTTGATTACATACATAAATGCCAAGAGCACTTTTTTGCTTGTATATGCAGAGAGTATATACTGAGTACATGCAGAAAACATTTTTATATGAATTATTTTTTAGAATATTTTAGACTTTCTTTTGTTTTGTTGGATGCAAAGAGGTGTTGTATGGTCTTTAGTCCTTTTGCCAATTTTAGTCTGCATTTTTGTCAATTTTGTGTCAAGTAGGTCGTTTTGTCAATTATGATTTAAATTTTTGAAATTTACAGTGTGTAATTATATGCTTATCTTGTATTGCACAATTCTTCTCCTCTACTAGCGAGGTATATGACTGAGAGTTCTGTTTTTTTCTTAGTTGTTTGATTTCTAAGGCTATTAAGCACTGATATATGTTAGTCTCAGGAGGTTTCAAGTGATAGTTTTTTGTTACTGGACATTTGAAGATGTAATGGTTAGGGTCGCCCCTTTCCCCACATACACATTGCTCAGAAGAAGCAATGTTTCGTTCGTAATAATACGTGGAGAAGGGGCCATGTCCTGTCATAAACCAATTGATTAGATGGTTCGTACTATATCTGTCCGTATTGATGTGAAGTTTAAGTTGGAAGAGTCTTCTCTCCTTATCATTATTTTTCCATTCTTCTTGCCATGCTTGTTCCCGTAGGCATTTAAGTTGGCGTTTTAGTTGAGATTTAGGCGAAGAAGGATTTTTTAATTCTGCGTCAATGTCAGTAATAGCAGATTTTGCCACTTCATCTGCTTCTTCATTTCCAAAAATCGCCACATGGGATTTAACCCAGGAAATAGTAGGATGTATATCAGGATTCGAGATAGAGATGTCATACATATCTTAAATGATCCGAAAATTATGTTGAATATTTTTCATAGCTAGAATCGTGGATGATTTACTATCTGTATATATTTGAATTTTTTGAGTTAGTTTTTAGTACAATATTCTAGGGCCATTTTTATTGCTGATAACTCAGCTTGAAAAATACTGTTTTGATTTAAAAGTTTAGCTTTTCGTATTATTTTAAGTTGAGAATTTATATAAATAATGCATGCACATCAGACTCCTTCTTCCATTTTGGAGCCATCTGTGTATGCGCATGGGTAGTAGTTTCTAATTTGTGTGTTTTTTGCAATACAGTTGATTTTTGGATTTACTCCTGGGTGCCTTCTGTATGGGTTACAGGGCGATTCGTAATTGGAATATTCGAAGACTCTATCTTTCATGGAACAGTTCTTTTTAAGCCTTAAAACTGTGCCTTTGGTATGTTCCATTTGAGCTGTTATATACAGTGGGGCTATTCCTGCCAACACACAGAGTGCCGTATTTGATACTGTTCTGTAGAACCTTGTAATGTATAGTAAAAACGGGCGTTTTATTGCCTCCAGCTGTGTTTTCTTTCTTTTCGTAAGAGTTTGGGCCCAAATTTCTGCCCCATACAATACAAATTTTTCAATAACTACCTTAAAGAGAGTTTTTGAATATAACTTAATCCCCAATTAAATCCTTTTCAATTTTTGGAAGTTGTTTGTAATTTCGGAGGTTTTATTTCTAACGAATTTTAAATGTTCAATCCAGTTTAATTTCTTGTCATTGATTAGGCTAAGGAATTTGAAGCTATCAGTAATTTTTATTTTCTTACCTTCTATAGTAAATATGGGCAGGTGGGTAATCTTTTGGGAGGGCTTTGGATATATAACGACTTTGGACTTTCCTTGGCTAATGGATTTCAGATTTTTACAGACTGACTTGAAGATACATAGGGTTTCGTTAGCATTGTTATCTAAGAAGTTTTGGATAACACATCAATAGTTACATCTGCTATTATTGAAACAAAATTCACTTTTGAGATCTCATTTATGTCAGAGGTAGTCAACTTTCTTATACCTACCGCCCACTTTTGTATCTCTGCTAGTAGTAAAATTTTCTAACCACCCACGGGTTCCACAATAATGGTGATTTACAATGTAGGAAAGTAAGTTTACTTTATAAAATTTATAAAACAGAGTTACAGCAAGTTAAAGTATCTAATAATAATTACTTACCAAATACTTTGTGTCAGCTTTTCACTACGTTCGGCAGAACAAATCTTTATAAAACAACTTACTATAGTTAAATCTATCTTTTTATCCATACTTCGCATATATATAAATTACTTAGTTCAGTTATTAGTGGGATCCCTGAGGCTGATTCTGGGAAATTAATTATTGAAAATCCGGTTCGATTTTTGAGAGGAACAAACGAAGATCTCCCCTTTCTGAAATATTTGGGCAGTTTCTTTGTTTGGTCATAAAATGATTAACAGCACTAATACTTCAAATTCTGATCCCACAAGATATGAGGTAGGGAAAGGTATCAATAAATTGAATACCATTTTTCACATATTTGTATGTAAAACTAAATTTTTTTATATTTTGCCACAGGTTGTTCATATCCAACACTGTCGAATTCATGTTTGCTTGCTTCAACAGATCTAATTTTTAACAGTTCTCCTTCGCAAGTTATATGAACCTCTTCAATATTTCCTGTAAAAAGATTTTTCTTCCAGTTATATAACCTCAATAACAAAATATCTTCAAATCGTTTTTCCACGTCTAATTTAATTTCGTTGAGGTTGCTACTCTGTCAATACATCATCTTTTACAGATTCTAATTGAGGAAATTGATGAAATTCATATAATGCTGCAAATCTAGCCAAAGGTGTACCTTTTGACAACCACCACACTTCTGTATGCAAAATAAACTCAATAAAATCTTTATTATTGTCCTGGCTAAGTTGCCGAAACGTCTTATCATTCTTTGCACTGGATTTAATCTTATTTACGGCTCGAATTATAATAGTTAATGATGAATGGAGGCTTAGATATTTTCCTATAAGATGTTGCCTGTGGAACACAAAATTAATACACTAAACATTTGGATGCTGCATACTTCATATATAAAACTTCCTGTTTCAAAGCAACAAATCCACGACAGCGACTTGCCATTCATGGTGCTTCATCAGTAGCGCATGCAACAATATTATTCAAAGGAATACTTAAATACTCTTTTGGAAAGTATGTTGTCCCAGTATAGCATATAGATAACTCTTTTGTATCTGTGATGCGATTTATTGTGAATAGCATTTTCTTCGTAATAATATTATTTTCATCAAAATAGCGTATGCTATCAATAAAGTATCATTATCTACAATGGTAGATTTATCAGTTGCATGGGAAATAAAGAGTTTTGGAGAATACTTATAAGTTGGTTTTCAACATTAATTGCCATTTCATCAGTTCGTTGCTTTACTGTGCTAGCGCTGTGGGATAACGTTTTTAAAATTTGAGGTCTATCTTTATGCATTACTTTCGAAATAAATTCTGTTATAGAGGATATTATTACAGTTTCTTCAATATTATAGCTTTTGCCAGTTTTTTCAATTGATTGTGAAATGAAGAAATTGGCAGTCAATCGAACTTTTTCCCTTGTATGTTGTTTCTTAAATGATGAAAGGATAGTTGAACGATTTTGAATTTTTTTTATATATTTCCTGAAAATTACCAAGGGGCTCGTCCTTGTCATTTGAATGTTTTGTAGAAAGATGTACTCGCAATCTACTTGACTTCATTGCCTCTTTGGATAACGTTTTATGGCACAATAAACATATTGCACGTTGTTTATTTACAACAGGGATTCTATGAAACCCATCTTTCAGATATTCTGGAGAACAGCCACATACGTATTTCGTTTTTTGAGACATTGTTTCACGATTTTTCACAATATTCATTTCATATTCATTTCACTGACGATATTTCATAATATAATTAGGTCGTTTGATGCTGTAAGCACATGCTTGCTCTCAGAAATCTAACCACATATTAACTTCAGAAATCGAAGTACATATTAACGTCTCGATTACGTAAAGATTTAGTTTCACTTACGTCATAGGAACAAAACTTATGCGATTGAAGTCTCTTGCGTAATCGCGACTTTTTGAAGACTGCGCGCTCATATGTCTCGTCTCGTTAGTCAGGAAGGATCAGGTGTATGCGGGACAGGTGGTCACGAACGAGGTCAGTTCAGTCCTCGGTCCCAATACAAACACCCTCTAACAGAGTCTGACCGCTGTGCTGATCTTAACTTGTCAACATTCAGTCGATTAGTATGCAATCGCAACGTCGCTTGATGGCTCTGTTACCGCCGACCATGAAAGCTGGAACAACTACTATCGGTCGGTATATACCAGATTGACTACCACTGTTTTATGTGGTTCTGACAAACAATAAACATGCAGTCTAATAAATTATTTGAAATTTCTTTTGACATTCCTTTAACAATAATGGTGCTAGTGAGCTGGTGTTTAAGAGACGAATCAAATTCTATTAAGACGTTGATATGAACTCCCTGATTTAATGAATCCTCGTGTCCTTCATGCCCTTGAAGGGCAAACTCAACTGAAGAGCAAAAGACAGCAATCAATAATTTTTGTTAGAATATAACCATTTTTTACAAAGTTCAATTGTGTCTTTTAACATTTGAACGAAATGCGCTGTCGATTTATTGGCAAATATCCACCTTTCCTAGCAAATTAAATTCTAAGCTAGTGTTTAAACGTGAATGAGTATTCATGCTTTTTTATTTTCTGAATTAAATGTCATAAATCAGCAAAACTTTAATTCACCCAATTGAATCACCATTCTGTTTTGCAAATAACAGATATGGGAAACAAATCAGCCAGTTAGTTGATTCACATCCATATAATCATGAACATTTCTTACATAAATCGGGTTTGAATTCTCTTTTCAAACATCTAGACTTACATTTCGTCACCTGAATAAAGTTTAGCAAAGGTGTCAACCTGCGTAGTTTCATATCCGTTTTTCTTTCCAAAAACAATTGAAAAATGCAATTGATTTTGTTCCGACATCCTGATTTTACTAAATGCCATCTGAAGTGTTTGCATTATTTCGTGAAAAATATGTATAAAGAAAAATGATAACAATAAAAATATATTACGAAACTGTAAAGGTGAACTAGCTAACCGAACATAAAAAACCAGGGAGACCTCGGACGAGATAACTGGAAACAATGCGAGCTCCCACACACAGATGATTTGTGAATGGAATAGTATCAGCGGTACCTTTGCCGTCTCACTCCTTTGTCCTCCTCTGTACCTGTAAAATGTTTTCCAAGAGTACTTCTTCGATCTCTAATCTGACAAAGGAAACCTCAAGCTCCAAGCTGATCTGGGCTATAGCAATCTACAATGCAGTAAGTTAGCTGAGTTAGAGTATTAAAAAGAGTGGATTCATCCTAGAAACTGACAAAAATCTGGAAGTTTATTAATATTATTTTATTTAATTTGCTAATAAATTTATTTCTTCGTTTTCTTTTGGTATTCAGGTGCTCATGTTCACAAATAGAGGGGTGCCTCTGATTAATGGCATTTTCTATCTCAGGTTATACTTGTTATACTTGTTCAGTCTGTTATACTTGTTCAGGGAGCAAAATTTGAAACGTCGCTCACAACAATTATGGGAAGTTCAACTGGGTATTTCATTTACGTTCGCCAATCTGGTCAGATGACAGACTCTTGTAGCTTGTCTTTCTACAAGCAACATCCCTTATTATCCTGGTGTCCTCATATTTAGAGGGATCTCCAAAATAATTCCCGATATAGGTCTTGTGAATAGTAAATTTTATCAGTTGACTTCATTAAACCTGTTTTTTTGCTAGGAGGAGAAGTTTTAATTTGATAAACATGCTTCAGATGTCGCAATGTGAGCATAGCATGTGAACCCCCAAGACATACAATTTCGAAGTTACATTTCCTGACAAGAAAAATCTCCATTTTTCTGTTATGTGCTTAGAAGGTCAGGATATAAAAATATGTGGTAGATCAAGAGTTAATTTCATGTAATTAATTTCTCCTTCAATTAAAATTAAAATATACTAGCAATATTTTTAACTGTAGCTATTATTAAGTGCTACTGTAAAGGGTAACTGCAGCTCGGAAATAGGTTCCGAAGGTCTGGCTTCATACAGGATTCCTTCCAAAGTTCGATTTGTAAACTTCATAACATCTATGAAGCGTAGTATGAGGTAGTATTTCTTAACTATTTTGCTGATAGTTTTATAATATAATCATTGCATTTTAGAAAATTATTCAATATTTTATTCTTTTAAAGTACTTGATAACTATGATAATCATTCAAATGCCATTTATTTCAAGCTTTCTGTCACGAAAGAATAGTCTGATCTGGCATCCATTTCTAACTATTAAACGGGTTATCTCTTCGGGTTCTGTAGGTTTTTTCATGTGTAATATAAACATGACTTTATTGAAGAGCCGATCAAGAAGGCATCTCTTCCTATAGGGAAACAACCATATTGTTGTTGGGCGTAATATGATAGTTTAAAAAGTATAAGTAAAATAACATACTTTAATAAAGTTTAAATAATTTGAAGTCAAAACAACAGTAGCTGGCTTCCAGCAAGAAACTAGCACCGATTGCTTATCAGTATAAATACCATTAAATATATGCAGGATATCTCATATAAAAAGTAATAATTAAGTAAATTTGAAGAGAAAATATACAGGAATAAATAAGAATAAATACCTGTGCTATATCCTAAAGTAAGAGCTTGAAGCATCAGACATTATTCTCTTCCCAGTTAAGTTATTTGAATATGGCAAAGCACGTAAGAACTAGGTATCTAAAAGGAGCCTTCGTAGGGGCTTTATAACAAAACTGGCTCACACCTTCTTTACACATGAAAAAACGCAAAAATCGTCTTTCCAATGGATAGTTCCAATGGATTTAAGCGTATCACGCTACAGTACACAGCATTCTTAGTCAGGTAGCCGTTAGTGTCGCTTTGTCTTGCCAATATTTGAGGTCTGTTTCGTAAGCCATTTAAGGGATAAGAGCAATTAATTGCACTATCAGAGATTCAAGGCATTGCATCATTTTGTAGGATTTCTTGCAATTTTCAATTCCTTAGGATAGTGCTACCTCCATTTACACAGCTTATAAAGGCTGAAAAAGGTATATTTAGCGAAGCTGAGGTACGTTTATTAAGGGCAGTAGAAACGTTGCAATAGAACGATTCATCATTTCCGTAATAGACTATTTAAATACGATAGGTTTCACCCTCAAAAAGATATATTTATTGCATATACTAGTAATACACTATTTTACTTTTTATAGGTCTATTTGAGCACACGGACTGGAGCATATGTTCTAAACAGAGTTGGACCACACGGATATCCCATAGATTACTTCTTTATGAGAAGGCATTTGTACAAAATGATGGATATTTTCCCATTACAAGTATGTAATTGGTACATGGAGAAATTCTATATTGATAACAGGTTCCATCATAAACTATATAATGTACCTCCAAAATATCACTTCTTTAACAAGGATCCTGTCATTAATGATCATTTTGGCTCAAAGTTGCTGTCTGGATCTATAATTCAAAAGAGAGATATTGAACGTTTTACAGAGAAGGGTGTCTATTTCGAAGAAAGCAGTGAGGAGACAGAAATAGATGCTGTCATTATGGCCACAGGATACACATGGAAATTTTCATTCCTAGAAGAGGGAATAGTAACTCAAGAAAAGAATGGACGAATCAATTTATACAAAGGAATATATCCTCCCCAACTCAAACATCCAACTCTTGCAATAATTGGTTTCCTCTTGACATTCGGACCTGGGTTCCCGACTGGCGAGTTACAGTGTCGATGGGCAGCTCATATGCTTGCAGGAAAAGGACACTTACCATCCTCAAGAAAGATGCTAAAAGATATCGAAAGAACGCATCGTGCAAATGCGAAGAGATATTCCCCAAGTGATAAAATGACTTTGAGGGTTGACTGTTTGCAATACATGGACGACATCGCATCAAAGTTTGGGGTAAAGCCAAACCTACCTAAGTTATTTTTTACTGACATCCGGCTATTTTGGAAGATCTGTTGGGGTCCTTTCGTCTCTTATCAGTATCGACTTCAAGGACCACATAAATGGAAAGGAGCAAGAGAAGCCATTATGACATCGAAGCAGCGAATGTTATATCCCTTACAGAGAGATGGCTCTAAATAATTAAGAATGAAATTTTATTAATGAATATTTATAAGATACAATATAAAAATAATATGAAAGTATATATACGATATTCATATATATGTATGCATATATTTATGAAGAGGCAAGAAATTAATAACGCGATACGTCTGAAATCATTTCACTACTAAAAGACTGCCGAATTAAAAGAAATGTTTTCGTCAGTCTAAAAACTCTATTTATAGAGAGTTGACATGCGCATCAAGGTTTTTCTACGTGCTTAAATCTTCATTTATTTTTAATATGCATCAAAATAAATCTAATCTTACAGAATTTAAACACTCAACCATCAAATAATTTTTGAAAATATTTTTGCTGAAAATAAAAGGAAATTGCCATTTTTCTGCATTTAAACGCTTTTCGATTGCATTTACAAATTTAAAGCACATTATTATTCCCTTATACAAAAAGTATTTCACATTTTCCTTCAAGGAATTAGTGAGTTTAGAGCTGAAGATATGATAAATATCTTCAATCGTATATACTGGTTAATATGATTTTTATAATAGTCGGTAAAAATTAAATTATTTTACAGTTGATTTTCTTTGTATTTCAACTCTGTAATATTTAATTATGAGTTATAGATTTTAACTTGAATACGAATTTCCACTTTCAAATATTTCCCCATAGTGAAATTTTGCAAGATTGAAAGAATAAATATTGATGAAAATAAACTTTTGTCTCTGTCTACTTTTTGGAGATTTTTTACTATCTGTATCGTTTTACATAAATGTTTATAAAATTTTATTTTCTTCTTTACATGTCCCAGAATTCATAGGCATTCATTTGCAGAGTCAGCGTGCAACAAGGAACGTGTAATGATGTACAAATACTATGTTCGAACTAAGAGAACATTTTCACGTATTTTCAATCAGATGTAATTAAACTACGAGATCATTATTACAGAATCAACGGAAATTACGTCTTTCTTCTCTGCGTTTTTAATCACTTTAAACCAGAAAATAATGTGGAATAAATTATAGTAAAACATTTTTCTGGAAATAAAGTTGAATGTGTTTCTTGTTTATTGTGTAACCCAAATTTAGAATTGGGTCCTCCTGAATAATATGAAATTTTTCCTTATCGTTACTAAAGTCTTTATTTCTTAACTATGCAAGAAAAATTTTAATAATATTATGCAAACTATTTTAAAAATAACTTGTTTTTCTTGTTACAAATGTTCTTGAAATTAGAAAATAAAACAATAAAGCAAGAGTGGTGTCTTGCAGTTAATGAGCTATGGTCCTAAAATCTCTGTGGTCACGGAGCTCGTTTCGATGTATGAACCGTTACGAATCGAAATGAAATTTCATATATCGTTAAAGGTATGCGCTCGAGATTGTGATGTTTTAAAATAATATATTTCTCACGGTTACGGTGACAGTGAAAACATTTCGAAATTTTCGATCGGCAACATCCGAATTTTTTTTCCTTCGGAAATTAATGAGCACATTAAAAAACCATAAATGGCTTTGGAATGATACACGTATGATGAAAATTGCCGGGATAGAACATTTGCAAAAAAGAGAATTGTAAAGGACCGATGAGAGCACAAGAGAGGAGTGAGAACAAATCGTATACCTTAAGTTACAAGTTCTCAATATTCTAGCCTTCGCAGACGATAACGCATTGCATGCCAGTCGGAAATTAATGAGCACATTAAAAAACCATAAATGGCTTTGGAATGATACACGTATGATGAAAATTGCCGGGATAGAACATTTGCAAAAAAGAGAATTGTAAAGGACCGATGAGAGCACAAGAGAGGAGTGAGAACAAATCGTATACCTTAAGTTACAAGTTCTCAATATTCTAGCCTTCGCAGACGATAACGCATTGCATGCCGGAGATTATTCATGAGTATATATATATATATATGAATGTAACATCGCAGGAGAAACTTGTACAACTTCTTTTAATGGCATCTTTCAATTCTAACAAATCTCGTTATATACTCGTACTTTATATTTCAGATATCCTCAGGATCATAAATCCATCGGATTTATATCGGAAGATCGCGATCTGGTCTTTTTTTATGCAAAGTGTGCATGAACAGCTTTCTGACTTTAGCGTTGTGAAGTATTAAGTTTGTATGTTTAAATCTTTAAATTCTTTGCTTATTTGTGGCACCAGTAATATCTGACAAAAACTTAAGTCATTTGCAAGCTTATCTGATAATTTTATCCATTAATGGTAAAATATTATTTAAAACGAGTTTGCCAATGTATATTTGGCAAGGAATAAAGTTATTCCTGTTCTTATTTTTTAATGCCATGGCGTTGAATTTTTCAATCAAAAGACTCAAAATAAAGTTGTTTGATGATTTTCTCATTCTTTCATCATTTAGACACAAGTAAGCTCAATGTATTTTAACATTCAGAACATTTATCAAAAAGACATTTAATCCTTCAGATCAAAGAATAATTTTAAAAACTTGTGGTTATGAATTTGTTACAATAACCCTCCTACAACAGCAGCTAAGCCGTAAATTTAAGCCCAACAATATTTCCTTTTACACCTTTAAGTAAGTACATACACGAATATCTTGAAATGTGTACTAACAATAAACGCATTATATTCAAAAAAAGGAAAAAAAGTTTCCAGATGTAAAAGTACATACTGGAATATAATTAACTCTTGCCATTTTCGGGAAGCTTGATGATTAAATACGTATTTCGTTGATTGGAGGAAAATGTAAGCGAACTCCGATAATAAAATATCAAATCGAATTGAAAATTCAAATAATGTCTTCAGATACAAATACTATAAATAAAGTAAAGGATATAAAATAAATACCCAGAAAATAAAGCTACCTCGTCTTTAGGTCAATATTTATGAAGAATGTTTTTAATCTTAGAATTACGTATACCTTCCCAGTATACCTCTTGGCGATGACTTAAATAACTACAAAATACCAATCCCTCACTAAAACCTATTTTTGAAACACAAAGGAGAGTAAAATGTAAAATGCTACTATAGTGTACTCATATGTCTATCACGATCACGAATCTAGTTATTGTCACGTACAGGGCAGTCAAAGGGTGGAAATAAAGAAAGCTGTTATTGCAACATTCATTAGCCGTAGCTTACGTCAGTACCCGTACAAAGTACGTACGCCAAAACTGAGAAAACATAGATTTCTAATATTACCATAAGCTAAGAAATGGTCGACCAAAGGGCCATCTTAATAGAGTATGGTATACCTAATATCCACTCGCACTATGCTGATATTGAAGCACGTTGCTGATATTGAAGCACATTGCTGAGATTGAAACACATTACTTACCGTAAAAATGTTTTGAATCTTTAGGTAAAAAATCTGATGTACACGATACATGACTTCCTTGTACGGCCTCTTAAACTATGCGCGTTTTTGCTGCATTACATTTAAACTTATTTCCCTGAATTACATTAGAGATATATTTCTCATTTAGTCAATTAAGTTCTCACTTCGCGGCATGGAAAAAATACATAAAACCTCAAAAAATCTTAATCAAAAATTGAAAAATATAAAATATCAAATAAAGTTAAAAAATTATTTAAAAAATTTCAAAAAATATTTTTACAATTAAAATTAGAGTTTCTACGCTAAAAAAACCAATTCGGCCAGCAGGCAACAAGGCAGATTTTCGGTGCCCAAAAATGAAAGTTTAATTTTGGTCTCACTCGGTAAAAAAAGGTGCAGAAGCTGAATTCACTATTCTAAGTTTCAAATGTAAACAAATATGGCTGCTATGGTAACCAAAAATTAAGCTTAGCCGCACTTAAACAATTTTTTATTTTTTGATAATTCTACAACTTTTGTATACAGATTAACTTTTAGGTAATCTATATACAATAGTTGTAGAGTTATCAACAATTAAAACCTTAAGCGGAAGATAAGAACAACATAATTCAATCATTTTAAAGCAAAAAATGCGCACTTTACTAACATATAAGAGTAAAAAAAAAAAACTGAGCTCACTGAGCAGAGAAACAGAATGGATATATATATTTATATACGTTTGGTGCTGCTGACTGCACCCATGAAATGACATGCACATCTGCATATTATAGCAGTCCTATACACAAAATTTTAACGTTCTGAGGCACCCTTTCAATTATGCGAGATACATGCATACCTCGTACGTACGTGCAGATGCCACGAAAAACTCTCTTCTAAATGCATTTTAAATTAGTTTTATAATTCGTTTGGGTAAAACAGTCCTTTATTCTCTCCTAACGTACAGATTTCACGCAAAAATATCATTAAATCGCATTCGATTGCGGTCAAAATGTATATTTTCGTGTAAATATGATACCCTGAATTTTTCTTGATTACAATACATTCTTTATTTCGAACATGCGTATAATTTAATATTACGTGCAAGGAAGTCATGTGGTGTACACATCAGATTTTTTAAATCAAACAATGCAAAATTTGCCAATGTTTAAAATAAGAAAATAATTGAGCTCACGGAGCCGAGTAACAGAGTGGCTATATAAACATATTTTTGGGGCGGCCGATTGCAACCAAAAAGGGAGGTGCGAACTAAATGTTATAGCAGTCCTGTATACAAACTTTCAACTTCCTGAGGCTACCCGGTTTTGAGTTATGAGAAATATATACATACATAACATACGTACTTAAGTAAAGACTTCACAAAAAACTCTCTTCTGAATCCTTCTTAAATCCTTTTCGCAACCCCATTTGTGAAAAGGTGTCCTTTATTCTGTCTTTACGTACAGACGTCACAGAAAACCATCGTTAAATTGTATTTCCTAGATGTCAAAATGGATATTTTCGTTGAAATGTGATACCCGAACATTTTCACGATTATAATACTTCCTTTACTTCGTACAAGGAAGTAAAAAGAAGAAGAAATTCTAGAAATATTATCTGATTTGGATTTCCTAAGAAGAATGCTCTGAAGGATGTTTACACGGTTTTCACGAAACATCATACTTTTGGTAAAAATGGAGAAGCCATCTCTCATGAAAATAACACTTTTGGGAAGTAACATATCTAACTATGTGTCCAATTCTTGAAAGGCCATGGTTCAAGATAATTTTCAAGCTGAATCTAAATGATTAATAGAATATTGTATTACATGAGAATGGAGACACCCTTTTATAATTTCAGTAAATTTATTTTTGCGTCTTTTCGTTTATTACGTGAAATGACTTTAAATTATTCCTTTAGTTCATAACTGTAAGATTTTATATACTATAAGTAGCATTTGCATATACGAATAGCTTTATTTTTTATTTTTTACTACTAGAGAACATAATATGAAATATTCGTTTGTGAATATTTAATATGAACAATGGTTCTTCTTCTAAGGCAAACATGTATTTTGTAAAATTTAAAATAGATCTCTGCGTGTTATGAAACCAAGCTATGTTTGTATTAAACTCTAAGCTGTCACTGAACTGCAAAGAGACATTTGACAAAAACGAAAAGATTAAATTGAGTATTTTGAGGCCATTATTCAATTCTTATCTTATTTTTCTTTGGAAGTTTTTATCTGAATGGCAAAGTCACGTGAATGAAAATCATTATCGAAATAAATTTTGGGAGTAATGTATTGCATTGCCTACAAAGGCATTCATCGCAAGAAAAAAAAAGAGAAACACATTTCAAGCGGCCAATTAAAAGGTTGGTATATTATTCTGCAATTAACACTTTAAAATATTTTTTAATTTTTTTGTAAAATTTATCTAACATTTTACATTTAATATTAATTACCTGACTATATTTTGAGCTTAAAATCGTAGCTACCCAAAATTAACAGCTAGTTAAAATTATTTAAAAATCTGCAAATTATTTTAATACTTCTATTTACCGTTTCATTTTCTCTTGCTAATTAAGCTTTATTGCAGTTTACTTATTTTCCATAATTATTTTTTATTATCCCAAAGAGCGTTAGCCGAGAACGGCTATTAATTTCGTTTTGGCATTTTGTGTTGAAAACTTTAAATGTCGGTTCACTTTTCAAATTGTTGCCACCAAATATTATCGTCCTGTAGTATATTTAAAGAAATTAAATAATGAAAACTCTACATAAATGCTCGCATTGTGATAAAGAAACGGTACCTAGAGCCATTAAATTGCCATAAAAAAAAACATTTTTATCTCCAGCGCGTGAGACTGTGTATCAGAAATTCTAAAGATATGCTCATTTAAAAATTATTTTGCGATATTGCTGTTAAATTAAATTTCATGGTTTAAATGCAAAGACCATTTAATAAATAAAGGTTAAAAAAGTCTCTTTGGGCATAATGTAAAACCTGAAAGCTTTCAGATTTTTTTAAATTTTTATTTATTTATTTATTTATTTTTGCAAATAAGAATTATAGTCCTATTCAAAGACCAATTCGACAAGCAGGCGGAAAGACAAAATTTTCGGTTTATTAGATTTTAAATTTACTTTTACCTGTGTTTTCGTCACTGCTGTTCTGGTAACTATGATTTTTTTAGTTCACCGTCGATATCGTCAACCTTATAATTTATATTATAATTATTAATTCAAAGGTGATGCTAATACAGATAAAGTCTTGTAAACATACAGTGAAGTAATTCATTTCATTTCCAACATAAAAAGCACATGTCATGCTATTTAATTTGTCTCTTGAATATTTTAAAAGCTTATACAGTAGACGCCGCTTAATGGAATCGCGGCATTCAGATACTGTTATCAAATTGCCGAAGCTTTACTTATATGCGAAAACATAGAAAATACATCGTTTATTGTGATTACGAATTTGGTTAATATGATCAAACGATTGCAGAGTAAAGTTGCTTAAACTAAACTCGTCAAATAAGGTCAAACTCAATTATAAAAATTGACCCATTGACAGAAATGTCACCAAGTCAGGCATTTAAGTCGTCAAACAGCTTGGTTTGGTTTTAACCATTTAGTCCTAGGCAAAAAAACAACCTTGGTTTAAATTTCTCTGAAAACTTCTACGCTAAGCATAGGTTGCTTTGTTGCCTAATTTTAAATTTTAAATTTGTATGATCTCTTCCAATAAGGGGCACCCTCCGAATATCAAGTTTAGGGGAACAACATTGGTGAAGTAATTTCCATAAACCTTCTGAACAGTTCATAACTTTCACATCAAAGAAATTATTAACGGTTCATAAACAAAGCTTGGCATTTTCCTAATTAACATTCTCTGAAATGACATATTTATATCTTTTTAGTTATATTTACGTTAAATTTATTAAATTACATTACTAATTTGAAGGATGTTTTTTCTCATCGTTTAATGTTATCATTCGGTTAGTGTGATCAAAATAATCGAGGACAATCGTGATCACATAAAGCGGCTTCTAATGTAACTTGATACATGCATACACATACACAAATACATCTCTACAGGAAATCAGAATAAAATTAAAGATCGCATCAAGATCCGACTGAAATGCTAATTTCTGCTCTACCGAAGTTCAAGTTTTTTATTTGCATTTAAATATTTTTCAGTAACTTTAAACACTTCGAAAATTGAAGAAATAGCATTTCTATGTAAGTTCCATACCTATCAGAATTGTAAATCATTCCTGTCTTCAAGTTAATTAAATTATCAGCGTTTCCGAAACACATACAAGTATCTCTCATTTAAAATTGCAAAATTTTATTAAAATGCATTTGCACGTAAGTATTACCTTTTATGTTTCATCAAGGTAGTTCCGTTGTAGACAGAATACATTATCTTAACTAGAAATATTGCTAAGCATTATTTTTTGGAATATGCACCGAAATGATTCTGCTGTTTTTATGAACAGGTATGGAAATCACTTTTTATATACATAAACTACAAATGGCAATTGGTTTATAATCCAGAGCCGTTTGATCTCCTGTATCTCACAACTGTGGTAAATATATAAGGTATTTCTCCCGCCTTCCTAGCATGCCTTCGTGGTGTGGTGGTCTGCACGTTGGACGAGTATTATAGAGGTCCGTGGTTCGATTCCCGGCGAAGGCGTTGCTCATTTTTCATCTTTCCTTCTTCCAAAAAAGTACCTAATGTCTCTACAAACAAAGAAGGGTAACAATACATTGCTCCTGAAAGGCATTATGAGTCCAAACAGGCTTTGTCCCTCAAGGACTATTATTTTTAGTTTTGCGATTTTGCGTTGGTTCACTATAAATGTCCGTTTCACTTTTCAAACTGTTGCCACCAAATGTTAGAGTGCTGCATTATATTTGAAGAAATTAAATAATGAAAAATCTGCATAAATGTATGTATATTTCTCATATTGTGATAAAACAACGGTACATAGAGCCATCGAATTTTGGAATGAGCGTACGTTTCCTACCTGCGAATATGCGCATCTGAAATCTCGAAATTTGGAATTTAGAATTTGTTTTATTATCGATTTCATATTTTGTAAAACTGTCAACGAATTTTTTCTTAACAAACTCAAGGATTTCAAAGCGATCAATGGAAACGTTGTACAGAAAAAAACATTATTATCTCCAGACTCTGTATCGGAAATTCTAAAGATATGCTCACTTTAAAGCTATTTTGACATATTGTTCTTCAACTGAATTTTATGGTTTAAGTGCGAAGAACGTGATATTTAATAAATAAAAGTAACAGACAAAATGTTAAAAAAACGCTCCTTTGGACGTAATTTAAAATCTGAAAACCTTTCAGATCTTTGTTTTTCTATTTTTTTTTTCTCTTTCCAAAGTAATATCTGTTTCATTTTACAGTATCTGTGAGGGAAAGTTTCTATTCAAGTTAAATAACTGCTGTCGCAATGTCAATAAAGCCATTGACATCAGTGTTAGTAAGTGACTGAGATTAGATTCAGGAATTCGACAACATTAATTTTGTCATTTCACCATTTAGTTTGTATTATGTAGACTCAGCCATTTTCCCCCTTTTTTGAACCCTGCGCTTTAGTTCATTAGACTTTAAAATTGTTTTTAAATAATTAGTTAACATGAAATATCAATGAACAAAAAATTTTTATGATATGCTTTATATATATAAGTATAGCAAATAAAGAAAATTTCTGTAAAAATTAAAATAATGCAATAAAATTACACCGAGTGTAGGGAAAGTACTTTGGATCGAGATACTCTTGCTATTTCATAAGCAGTCAAGAATCAATAGTACAGCGTTTAAATATATTTATAATAATAACAAGCAATTTAATAAACATTGATATACAGCTTAAAGAGCTAAGAAGTAGACATTTTGCAAAGGTAAGTCGATGATCTCAGGTATATTGTGAAACCCTGAACAAACACCATTCAAAAAGAGGTAACTAGCAATGTACAATGACCGTTGATGGAGCACTAGTTTGCCTAACTGATTTCAACGAAAAAGGTCAATTTATTACAGAAAACAAGAGAAAAAGATGTAAAAACTTAGTTTTGATAATTCAATGAATGTGTCAAAACTCAGGTTTATTATTGTTGCAAATTTCTCCTGCAGTGGGAGATTAACGCATGAAAAGTGGAGTAAAATGGCAAAATTAACTCATGTCATAAAAATATTTTGCATAGGATATTTAGGCAATTAATTCCATTTTTTGATCTCAACGACTTTAAGAGCGTAACACTGCACTATGACAAAGCCATCAGCAATGCTTTAAAATTTATTTTGCATTCCATAAAAAAATAAAAGTTTGTTAAATGTACTACATGCGTAATCTTTCAAAATATTCCTGTGAAGACTCCCATGCACTATTAAGCTTTTTCAATGTTAAAACGGTTGTTTCTAGACGTAAAGTTAAAAAGACATATATGGCCTCTGGAAAACTGTTAAAGAGATAAGTAAAGCAGTACACTGAAAATTTTACGTAAAAGCTCTTTTACCATGGAAAGTACGATGCAAACGTGCAGTTCGAAACGAACTATTAGATGTAATATTTAAATAATATATGTTCTTACGTTTGAAATATAAACTGAACGACCCTGAAATCGTTTTAAATAGGTGTAGCATCCTCTGCAATTCGTTCAAATAATAGAAAACATCTCATGCACTTACTATTTCTTTTAAGAAAAATGCATGGTCAAAATAAAATATTTTATTTCTAGTGTTGATTTATATTTCAATAGATATGTTAGTTTAAATTGTTATAGTGCTATTTAAAATATACTATCTATTTACTCTTACAGTATTAAATTCATTGAGAATAATATGGAGCAGTTCACGTATAAAAACATGTCATTTAAATTTATCTCGACGTATTCAAAACTTGAAATAATCAATATCTACTTTAAATTCAGCTTTTAATTTAATTTCCAAAATGTTTATGGTAAATCTCAGCACAATGACAACTTGGATTTAAGAAGCTTTACTATACTTTTTTTCATTTTTTATTATGGCATCATCAGTTATAAAACCTCATAAAACTATTCACTTTACTTCACGCTAATTCAAAATAGACAGCAAAACCTTGCCTAATACGTGTATTATGTCATTAATACATTCCGCGTACAGCTAAATGGCGTTTCATAAAATTACCTTTCTACTGAAAAGATGTGTTACGTATTATTATTCAGATTAGGAAACTATGTGTAATTAAATAAACCTAAATATCCTTGTAATTAAAAGAGAAAAATAAAACAAAAGTTAATTGAAAGGGTTTTTGTTATGCTTAATATATATGTCATAAAGTTATTTTTTAAAGCTGATGATTTTTGCTTGGGACAAAAAATTAAACAACTCTTAAAAACCATCACAGAGTTTTTCATTGCCTGTCATAAAATGTCGTCTGCTTTCCTTTGGTTCAATCTCCATTGCAAAATCATCCAGTTCATGCGTCTTTTTCAACAATTCGTTTAAATTCTTGAAAGCTAAAAACGCTTCAACTTCTTCTTCAGTGTCATTGCTTTCAATGGCGGCTGGTGTGATAAGGCCAATCAAGGTCTTCATTTGTCATTTGCCCTATTAATTCTTTGACTTCTCCTTCTTTCACATCTTATACACTTTCGCAGCGAGTTGCTTTTGTACAATTTCCATTGCTTTATTTTCAATCGTTGGAAATTTCTTAAAATTGTTGATAACTGATGCTCGTAAGCATTCATTGTTGATGAATGAGTACCGAATTGCATATAAATTAAAATTTAAAGCTGGACAAATCAAATGGAAACAATTAAGGTATCACGTACAAGAGAAATTACGTTTCGCAAATCAGAGCTCGACAAGATTTTACTGTATTCTTGCGATAGGTTTACAGTAAACTGCGATCTGATATAACAAACTCAAGTTATAATCTAATTTAGCAAACGTCCTTTGAACATGTATCTGAATACATCTTTATACCTGATTGTACTTGTCTCAATTATCTACTCTCCTTTATCCATATGAATAAGCTATAATTAAGGCATGTGTATTTACATTGCAGGTTCATAACTATGGAATGCAAAAAGAGAATTGCCATCATAGGAGCAGGATACTGCGGAATGACAGCTATAGCAACTTTAAAGGAAGAAGGTCTGGAGCCTGTGTGCTTCGAAAGAACAAGCAAACCTGGCGGTACATGGTGCTACAGGGAGGAAATTATTGACGGAGTAGCGTCCGTGATGTCTACTACGATTATTAACCACAGTAAAGAAATGGGTGCTTATAGCAACTTCCCGCCTCGTAAGGAGTTTAACAACTACATGAAACACAGTGAATTGTATGAGTATTTCACGGAATACTGGACAAAAAATGATTGCTACAGGCATATTCATTTCAATATGGAAGCTGTTTCTGTAAAGAGGGCTAATGATTATGATGAAACAGGACGATGGGAAGTAACCGTAAGAGATACAGTTGCAGGGAAAGAAACAAGAGATATCTACGATGGTGTAATGGTTTGCATTGGTCATTTCAATCGACCAACAATTCCTCAATTTTCTGGGTTAGAAAGCTTCAAAGGAAACATTGTACACACTCATAGTTTGAAAGATGTATCTAAGTTCAAAGATCAGAAAGTAGTAGTTGTGGGTTTTGGAGCCTCAGCACTTGACGCTGCTGTGGAACTGAGCAGCGTCGCCAAAAAAGTAAGCAGTATATTTGTACTTTTTCTAAAACTTTTACTTTTATTGAGTTCTGTCTTTTCTGGATACGTAATAAAAAATTACATTTTTAATTTGATGCTAAATAAACTTCATTGTATGTATGCCAGTTAAACACATCCTATGGCATTTATTTCCATTAAACATAAATAATAAATGAAGCTCAGATATTTTCAGAATTAAAAAACGGCGCCTTTTATAACTTTCAGTGAAAAATCGCTTTCTTCTTTTCTGGATGTAAAACATATTTTCTGCGATATTACGAAAACATTTGCAGTTATTGGCAGAGTCGGTTATCAGAATACTGTGTCAGTAAATCTGATATAAAACACTCTCTCTTAACTGAAAGTTTTCTGAGAAGCATAATACTGATTTAAATTAAAGAATTATATCTTAATTAAGAATTTTATGTAAAATGTAAAGTATAATACAGCAAGCGTAATAGATTTACACTACTTTATGCTCTATTTAATATGAACCTCCAGTTTTACACTGGAATTAATGTCAGTCTAAAACAGATATGTTTGGATGGAAAGCATAATTTCTCAACTTCAGCAATAAGGGGAATATTTTGTGTTGAACATGATTCATGAAGCTTCTTTGGAAATATATCTAGACTCTTATACATTAAAACTATGCTTTTAGAACTTACGCTCTTTCATATTTTATATTCTTTGCTCATTAAAGCTTATTAGCTAAAACATTTATCTCAGTAGAATCCATTTATAATATTCATTAAGCTTTACCTTTGCAATCTAGTTTACTTCTTTTATATTTAAACAATGTACAAATAACCCTAAATATTGCTTTTTAGTTCGCAAATGCGCAAAAGTTTTTCTTTTGATTTATCAGCAGGATTGATGCTTTGCACTATTTGAAGATAATTTTAATTAGTTTATTATCAATAATATTACTATTATTAATATTTAATAACATTTTGTTCCATTCTGTGTAAAATAATGAGACGAGGAAGACTTTTTAGACATATACTCAAAGTTAATAAAGTAAATTGTATTTGACACTACATTTAAAAAGTCATTTAAAAATAACAACATCCTTTTAAATTATAGCATTTAAAAACTTTTATTAAATTAATAACCAACAGTAGTTGAACTGAGATATTAATGATCTGAAAGAAAGCCAAATAATAGTGAATCTCTTTCTCAAATTTTGCATGACTTCATAATTTCTCTATGGTATTAAAATATTTGTTGTTGTTGTTGTCTTTTCCATATTACACGGAACAATATACCATTCTGATTTCGGAATAGGTTGCCTATTCCGAAATCAGAATATTTTTGGAATACAAATATTCATGATAATGGAATTGCATGTATATGACTCATGCATTTTAGCATCATAGTCTTTCACTGATAAAATATTGAATATGAGCTTAAATGCCATGCTTGCGTACAGTTAAAATTTTAAAAATTAATTAAAATTAATTGCTTAGATAGTCTTCGGTTTTTATTTTAAAAGTCACGAAATCTTCAAACTTTTCCTTGTGCCAGATGAAGTCAAATTATCCAAGAATATTTCAGGAAAGCAGAGACTAATTCTGAAACTTTTTATGAAAGGCCAAATAAAATCTGTTAGAATTGCTAAAATGATAGGGAAAATGAAGTGAGTCTTAACTGAATTATAATATATGTCATAATAAACGCGCATTACATGGAATAAGAACGAAATGAATCTGCAATGATTAAACAAATATTTTCAGCGGTATGGAACAAATCGTTGTTAAGTTTCAGCTCCGCATACTCAAATAGTTAACGCCACGCTTACAGTTGGTCGTGGACTGGCCCGTATTTCCAATTAAATAGTGAGTTGGCTTCTTAAGTGCTTTTTTAGTTTCTTCGTAAATAAGATAAAAGCGAGACAATTTTTTTCGCAATGTCTACCATGAAGTAATTTCTGCTTCGTTTGCGTTTATTTTTTAATTCTTTATATTACTAATTAATCATTTATTTCCTCAGAATGAATGTAGGTATATTTATTAAATTTTTTATGCGAGCAAAAATTTTACTTTACTAGAAATGTTTTTGGAGCATTTTAATGAAAACTAATGCAGCAGAGATTTTTTTTATATTTTTTAGGTATATTTAAGCACTAAAACTGGAGCGCATGTGATGACAAGAGTTTCGTATCAAGGTTATCCTTTAGACTACGTGCTTCTAAGACGTTACATGGTCCAATTCATAGATCTTCTTCCTACTGATCTTGTTAGCTGGTATGTAGAGACATTCTACCTTAACCCAAAATTCAGTCCCTCTCTGTACAAAGTAACTCCAAAGTATCATTTGTTGTCGAAAGATCCAGTTATCAATGATCATCTATTCTCGAAACTATTATCTGGTTCTATTGTACAGAAAAGTAACATTGACCGCTTCGTAGAGAACGGTGTCATCTTTCAAAGAGAAGATAAGAAAACGGAAGTAGACACAGTCATTATGGCAACAGGATACACGTGGAAATTCCCTTTTTTGGAGGAAGATATAATCACTCAAACAGATGGTCGAATTAATTTATATAAGTTAATGTATCCACCTCATTTAAAACATCCAACTCTTGCGTTTATTGGATTTCTTTTGGTCTTTGGCCCAGGATTTCCTCTGGGTGAGATGCAGTGCCGATGGGCAGCATATATGTTTGCTGGAAAGGGAAAATTACCCTCTGAAGAAATCATGTTTGAAGACATCAGACGAAGACATAAACTAAACGAACAGAGGTATGCACCAAGCGATAGAATGACTTTAAGAGTAGATTACACCCAATATTTGGATGAAATTGCTTCACAATTCGACGTGAAACCGAACTTGTTCAAAATATTTTTTACAGATTTTCCTCTTTTTTGTAAGTTAGTATTCGGACCAAGTGTTCCTTACCAGTATCGGTTGGAAGGCCCACATAAATGGGACGGAGCAAGAGAAGCCATAATGAAATGTGAAGAAAGAATATTAGCACCCCTTCACGGAAACTCTTAAAAAAGGACTGCACTTTTATATCCATATCTACAATTGTACAGCATTCATGCAATATTACTGAAATTTAAATGACACTACTGTATATCTTATGAATAAATTCGAGTCCTCATCATACTACGGCCAGAAAATGTGGCAGACACGAAAAGTGAAGTGTGAAATTCAGTAAGAAAGGTGAGCAATGAATTAGCGTAAGCCCGTTTTGGTTATGCTCGCATTATCTCATCTAAACACAAATATTTCATATTTAATGTTTCCTTTTCCACCCTGAAGGATCCGCCTACATTACTGCAAAATGATTAGATGCAGACAGTAAAGATCTTAGTTTCAGAAGCCAAACCAATCATTCGATTTATCTTCGAAGAGTAGCAACGAAAACTTTTGAACTTTAAAACTGTCTATTTTTTCTGTGTCATATGAGAAATGATGAAAAGAAAAAGTCACGAAATAAATGTTTGTTAAGCTAGAAAACTAGATTTTTATGTAATTTATGTACATATATTTTAAAGTAAATGTTGAAACCCAATTATAAAATAAATGTTACAAGTTTTTTATTAACAGTTTACTTTTAAAATATTACTTTTGAACAAGTCAGATATTTTGCTTTTAGCAATTCAATAACATACGAAGTAGCACTGCAGCATTATGTAAAAGGCAAGGGAAAGGGCAAATTTAGTGCTGTGGAGGATACGTTATGTCTCAAACCGAACATAACATTTGTAGAAAGAAATACGAAACATTATTTTAGTTATAAATCAATAAAATTTAAAATTTTGCATCAAAACTTAAAGAATAAAACCTTCTGAAATAATAAATACCGGTTATTCTAAACTTCTTGTGGCAGTAATTTCAGTCTTCGCAAATAATTTTGCAGATAGAACAGCATCGAAATGCAGCATAAAATTATATGAAATTTAGATGTTATTTGAAATATACTTTTCTTAAAAATACTTCTGTATTTGGAACTTAAGACTGAAAACATTGAGGCACTGTACGCGCTTATACAAAGAATGGGTTCACCAAATTCAGTTTCCAGTTATATTGCTGATATTTCATTCCTAGTAATAGTTTTAAAATGAAAAAAGTATGAAAGTATTATGCATTTAGAAATCCACTATCAATAATTAAAAAATTTTCTAAATTAGCCTATCGTTGTTTTAAGTTTTGTAAAGCTTCTTGTAATGTGCCACGTTTTCTTAATTTATTTTAATTATGTATTAATAAGCTTTAGCTTAAATAAAATTGAAATTAAATTACAAAATTTCGGAATTAGATTTAGTTTTGAACAGCACATGAAATTAGAGTAACTTTCTTAATTATATTTCTTATTAAATAGCATTAGTTCTTTCGTTACATAATTTTTACGAATAATTTCTTTAGTTTCAGTATGACTTCAAAATGAAAATTATAAGGTAATACAAAGTATTATTGCTTTATAACTGCTTGAAATTTTCGTTTATAAATAATTCGTTTGAATGTAAATTTGTTGAATAATACTACTAAATCATTTAACAATCCTACTAAAATATAACCCCGATAATTTAATTGTAATTATACTATTAACTAGTTTGCAGACTTGATTTCTGCACATAATAAAAAGTTCCGGATGGATTGTTTTTAATTATAGTTTGCAGTGACATAGGATTAAATTTTGAATCTTACAATTCTAAAAGTAAAGCGTAATTTATGCGGTGCGTGTTTAATCTAAATTTAACCTAAATTTAATAGTTTAATCGAAAATTAAATTATTTTAAACTTGATATACTAAATTTATTCAGCCAAACTAAATTACTTGGCATTCAAACATATCACTATATCACCATAATTTCAAACTTTTTAAAATATATAAATGCATATTCAAACTATTGAATTCATATATTACTGTATCATTACTGTATATTAAATACAACCATGAATTTGAACTCTTCATTACTATATATTCAAAGCTAGCCGTACATTCAAGCTAAATAATACTATAAACCTCATGTATTAAATTATAAAACAAATTCTTAGCCGCAATACTTTTCTAACACTTTACCTTACAGCATTCACATTTTTAAATTTAAAAAGAAACTACACTATTATAATCAGCTTATGAGATGTTCTTCAACTGAGATTTTAAATATTTAGTGAGGAAATGCCCAATCACATAAAAAATTAATCTCTGGTGTGGTGTGGTGTATTTAATTATGGCAAAGCACACTAGGGCTATCTGCCTAAGGGAAGGGATGCCTTTCGTGGAGGACTTTCTAAGAAATTAATCTCTTAAGGGATTTAGGTACACATTTATGGAGCAATTACATCAGAAAATTCGATGTTTCTCCATATAGAAACTGAAGTAGCACTAACCCACTTCTTCCAAGCTTTAAATATATTTTTTTATTTATTATTTACTTTGTTTTCACTAAACGTTTTTCCGAAGATCTCTAAATATATAGAGATTTACTTCAGATGTATTTGAAATAATGTTTGTTCGTTTCCCATCCCTCCCAATAAAACGTATTTCTTTTCCATTATTTCCACAAATATTCACAAGCATGTTTTAGGGATTTATAAAAATGACGAAGCTTAATTTACCAGCCTAAAAGTTATTTTTTTTTTCAAAATTCGGCGACTGCATTGAGAACGTTCAAAGCAGCATATTTATAAAAGAAGGAGTTGAAAATAGCAGAGAAACGAATACTTTATGTAATTTGCTTTAAAATACAGATCATATCGATTTCAAAATACGAGATGAACTACATTTCCATATCCAAAGAAACATACCTGTTTTAAATTCAAGAGATGTTTGAAGGAAGAGGGAAAATAAACGCAAACGAAATACAGGCACCAGTTTGTCCGAGGAAGAAATTGAATCTTCCAAATCGATAAAAAAAATAGTCGATTTGAGAGGCGCATCTGGTCTAGCCAGTTTTATCAATCAAAAACAGATGCACGGCATCAATATGCATCATTGCAGCGAAACGTCTCAATATCTCCTAATACAACTCACGCGGTAATCGTAAAATTTCAATATTGTAAAAGTTCCAATTCATATTTCACAATATTCTACATATAATAGAAGACATAAATGTAGAAGATTTATCAAAAATAATTTTATAAGTTAATTTTTTATCTTAATTCATCGAAGACATTCGATAACAAAAATAAATATAAAGCTATTGCTTTATATTTATTTAGCTTTATATTTATTTTAAATTCTGTAATTTATAATATAGCTATATCTAACTTAGAGTATTTGTAAATGTCCTCTGCTTCCAAGCAAAAATTAAATAAGTTTAAATTCCATTTAAATTATGCTTAACTTCTAATTCTTTAAAGGCTTTCCATCACAAACTAATAACAGAATGTAAAACTGAATTTTAATGATATTTTATTTACATTTCCAAAATTTTACTATTTCTCTTGTTAAATAAATATGCACAAATATATAAAATTAGTTTTAAAGAAAAGCATGACTTTAGATTTGTGATCTCTTGCAACAATACTATATTAAAATCATAAATGAAATTCACTCTTTTCCCAATTTTGTAAAAAACAAATATTTGTAATACTTTTATAAGTATTAAACTTTCGAATAACATGATGGAATTATGAAAATAATGTATCGGATACTGAATATAAAAAGTATTTTGACGCATAAATTTAAAAAGAACACTACCAGTCAGTTGGTGTTGGTGTATTTAATTATGGCAAAGCACACGAGGGCTATCTGCCTAAGGGAAGGGATGCCTGCGTGGAGGACTTTCTAAGGGAAACTGGCTCGTATACACGTTAAACATGGCAAAAACCACGAAAACGCCCATGCAGCCAGCCCGTTTGCGAGATTCTAAACCCGGACCGAACTACCAGTGTTCAGCGACTTTACCGCTCTGCCGCTGGTGGGCCCCACTACCAGTCAGAATATTAGTAGAACTAGAATCAAGAGATAAGCAAACATATCTTACCAACTAAATGATTGGTGGTAGTTTTGTATTCATTGTTTACGAGTAATTCTACTTACCGGAGGAGGTTCTGTATTCTAATTCAAGTCGAGAACCTGATTTTGTCATAAAAAGAAGAATAATTTAAATCCTAAAATCAAATGTCTGAAACAGCAATTCTGTTACTTCTCTGCAAAACATCCAAGCTTTCTAAGTAAGAATTAAATCAGCTAAACTAAGTGTAGCACATACATGTACATGGTAACATGAAACTGGAAGTAAAATATGTTTTAAGATTTAAATGTGCACTATTAAAAGCACGTTTTAAATAATATGTTTCGATATATTAAGAATTCTGCACTTTAGCAAATATAGTTATGCAATGAATATGTTAGAATAACCTTTCAGGAAAATAGCACTTTATATATATTTCAGCTCATCAAATGCATTTTTAACTTCCGTCTCTTGTAAGTAATCTGTTGATTACGACTATGAAAATTAGTTACTCTACTTCCAATTACATTCTCTTCCCTCGAGAAAAGCATGTTCATTACCAAGTGTGGGAAATTCTTACTTTCCCTCTATGATGACGAGCTTATGTTACCTGTAACATTTGAAAAGTTTACGTTGTTAAATTTTAACATTTAAAGTACGCTAGTAGAATTCCTTCATCTTTAACATACCGCTTGCGACAAACCCACTTAAAAGTTTTATATGAAGTAATTTCATGCTGCTGTATATTTTCGTCTCAGCAAGATATAGTTAATCGTATTTTACGAAGAACTATTGTTTGTTTTAATTCTGACTTCTGGAATTCATTAAAAGAGATCTGTAAGCTAAGCTGAATTTAAAGAACAAATTATAACTTTTAAAGAATGTTATAATTTGGCTCAATTATCTTTTCCAGCGAATACCTTAAAAGAAGAGAAACTGCATTTGCAAATGTCCTTCTTAATTTGCATGAGGACATGTAAATTTTCAATTCAAAGAATCAGCTTATCACGAGTCATTAGGTCATTTTTTGAAGCAGTAAACATGAAAAAGTCAGAAACGCAATTACCAGGATTTGAACTCAGGATCTTCCAAGGCTAGCGGACATGTATTCCAATTATACCATGGAGGAGGAAGAAGAAAAAAAGGACCAATTACACCAGTAAGGAGGAAATTTCTTGCATTCTAATATTACAAGAAGTTTAAAAAGTTTTGAAAACATAACTTGAAGTTTAAATATTTTAAAAGTCTCAATAATAAGACTTATTCAAAAAGCGGTTGAAACTCTTTACAGCACATTTGTTTTATTTGATGGAAAAAATCTTAAATTTCTTAAATTGTGTTGGATAAAATTCATGAAAAAACACATTTTTTTTCAAACAAGGTTTTATTTCCGAAAACATATATTATATCAATATAACTTTTATGTTAATCTTTTACCAATAACAAGAGGAATTCTTCCTTTTATTCCCTTTAAAACTTTTTTTTTCTAGAACCTCTCATCCTTTTCTCGAAGTCTTTACTTTCTAATCTTCTTAAGCGGTCCGCAAACCTCTA